TTACAGGTATGAGCCACCATGCCCAGACCCTTCCTAGGGTTTCCGGCTTTTCCTTTCACTTTAAGATTTGGATAAAATGTCACACCTCACAGGGATATGACTTCCTGAGTAGCCAACAAAGGAACTGGATGACGAAACCTGGAATTATGGAGGAGTCAACTCCCTGTGGGGCAAACTAACCAAAGGGAATTTGTTCTCCTTCCTGTTTCCCAAAAACTGCATTGAGGCAGTTTCTCCATATAGTTTATCTAGAAATTTCCTCAATGGTTGTGCCAACACTCCTACTGACTAGCTGTGTTTCTGAGCATGTCATCATGAAGCAGTGGCAGGACAATATGTCTCCCTCAATGTCCATGCCAAAGACTGCACCTCATAGATTAAATATTAGCACCTCATAGATTAAATATTAGCCCTGCCCCAGATTCTGTTTTCAAGGGAATCCAAGTTAAATACCCTTTTGTACCTGTTTATTTTTGTACTGTTTTAAAATAATACTTAGCTCTTCCTAAGTAGGAAATATTGACTTCACAAATTAAAAGCTAAATATGGTTCAAAAAATTCTAATTGGTTTTGAACTGCAGTAATGATATATAATGGGAAACAATAGATTTATTCCATTATAATTCAATATTTTAAATCAGAAATTGAAGCATTTAAGAGCCATGGTTTTCACAGAAAGATTCCATTCTATCCCTAAATCATATCCTATAAATGAAACATTCCAAACTCAGTAAGGAGAGAGGAGGAAGAGCCTTCAAGGGCAAATCAATGGCACTAAGAAAACTAGGATAATATAAATGCCCTGCAAGCCAAGGGAGAATTTCAAGGAAGTGCTCAATCTTAAATACTAGATATGGATAAATCAAGAAGAAAAGGAACAGAAAAATTACACTTTAGTGAACCGTATCTCTTTTCTGTTATGGCTTCTTGGGCATTCAGTCTGTCATTTGTGGTATACCAGGGGAAGTAAAAATAAGAGGTGTCTCTAGGCAACTTTTGCAACTTCCTCTGTTGCCCAGGCTGGAGTGCAGTGGCATGAACACAGCTCACTGCAGCCTCAACCTCTTGGGCTCAAGCAATCCTCTTGCTTCAGGCTCCTGAGAAGCTGAGACTACAGGCACATGCCACCACAGCTAGCTAATTTTTTTATTTTTATTTTTTATAGAGATGGGGTCTCACCATGTTGCTGAGGTTGGTCTCAAACTCCTGAGCTCAAGTGATGGGCCTGCCTTGGCCTCTCAAAGTGCTGGGTTTACAGATATGAGACACCACACCTGGCCAACCCTCCATTTCTTTAAGTACCTGACATAGCCTATGATAGAAAATAGAAGATACAGCAATAATCATTGCCAAGAGCTTGACCTGTAATTTAGCTAATCAAAAATGATGACTCTCTTGATTACTGGAATAATATAACTTGGATACTGTTCAAGGAGGGAAAAGTTATATGGACACATCATTGATCATGCCTTCCTCCTTTGTTAACCTTTAAAATGCAAGCTTAGAGGTTATTTAGAGGTCATCACCATCTCTTCAAAAACTATGCCTGCAGAACATAGTAGCTCACACCTGTAATCCTAGCACTTTGGGAGGCCGAGGAGGGTAGATCACAAGGTCAGGAGTTCAAGTGCAGCCTGGCCAACAAGATGAAACCCCTGACTCTATTAAAAATACAAAAAATTAGCTGGGTGTGGTGGTGGGCACCTGTAATCCCAACTATTCAGTAGGCTGAGGCAGGAGAATTGCTTGAAACCAGAAGGCAGAGCTTGCAGTGAGCTGAGCCCATGTCACTGCACTCCAGCCTTGGCAACAAAAGCGAAACTCCATCTCAAAAATAAATAAATACATATTACTTTCATTCGAAGTACAGAAAACCCAACTTAAACGGCTTTAAACTAGAAGGAAGTTTACTAACTCACACAACTAAAGATCCAAAAATAGGACAGATTGAAAAATTGATGTAATCCCCTTACTAAAGTCCATTTATTTCTCTGTTTTTTTGGTCTTGTCCTTCCCCATGTGTTGACTTCAAACTCAGGTTGCCACCAAAAGGACTGCAGCAATTCCAGGCCTTACATCCAAGTTCAATCAGGTCCAGAGGGAGCTTGAATCACTTCTGGAAGTTTTCCTGTAACAGTGAGGAAAAGCTTCTCTGCAAGCATTCTGCAAATCTTGCAACTCACTGAGGTGAACTGGGAAACATGCATAAACCTAATTCAGTTGCTTGCAAGAGGTTGATATTACCAGTCCAGACTACTCTTGAGGCTGAGGATGCTAAACTAAGCTACAAGGGACTGTGGTTGAGAGAGGAGTTCCTGAACAGTATCACAGTACCTGTTGGGAAGGAAAAGGCAAGAAAACCACGTTAAGTAGGTGAAGAACTCATTTTTTTTTTTTTTTTTTGAGACAGCACATTGCCCAGGCTGGAGTGCACTGATGATTTTAAGTCACTGCAACTTCTGCCTCCTGGGCTCACGGGATCCTCCTACCTCAGTCTCTGGGAGTAGCTGGGACTACCGGCAAGAGCCACCTGGCTAATTTTGGCTTTTTTTTTTTTTTTTGGTAGAGACAGGGTTTTGCCACGTTGCCCAGGCTAGTCTCGAACTCCTGGGCTCAAGTGATCCTTGGCCTCCTAAAGTGCTAGGATTATAGATGTTAGTCACCACGGCCAGCTCAACTCACTTTTTGTATTCTCAGCATCTTGTAGCCACACTTAAAAAACCAAAAACAAAAATCGCAGACACACACAGTTTATTTCAACGTTGAGTGAAGGAAGCATGTTGTATTCTTGTGCATACTATCTTGTGCATAAATACCTTGAACATAGATAGGAATTTCACTTTCTGGGTGAGAGGGGGAATAGGGGTCTCACTTCTTTTCGAAGACTAAAGTGCAGTGGCACCATCTCAGCTCACTGGAACCTCTGCCTGCTGGGCTCAGATTATCCTCCGACTTCAGCCTCCCGAGTAGCTGGGACCACTGACACACGCCACCACACCCATCTAATTTTTTGTGTTTTTGGTAGAGACAGGGTTTCCCCATGTTGCTCAGGCTGGTCTCAAAGTCCTGCGTTCAAGTGATTCGCCCACCTCTACCTCTCAAAGAGCTGGGATTACAGGTGTGAGTCACCACACCTGGTCAGCATTTGATTTTTTTCTATCAATAAATCTCAGTGAGAGAAAATAGTCTAAGTTATTTACCCTTCTGGATTCTTTTGTAGGTTGCTAAATTTCCTTGCTAAATTAATTCATCTCCTAAGACTTAGGTGCTATAGCAGAAAGGAAAAATCCCAAGCCAACAGACTTACATTTCCTTGACAACTGTATTAATGTACTAGTGACTTTTTCTGGAAAACATATCATAGCGGAGTGCTTAAAGTTCCTTTTTCTTACCAAAATGAAGAAACTGGAGGGATGAAGATCTGCTTTTCTAGGGTAACAGCGGTCCAATTTAAAAGCTCCATTGGGGATGGGCGCGGTGGCTCACACCTGTAATCCCAGCATTTTGGGAGACCGAGGCGGGTGGATTGTCTGAGGACAGGAGTACCAGCCTAGCCTAGCCAACATGGTGAAACGCTGTCTCTACTAAAAATACAAAAATTAGCTGGGCGTGGTGGCAGGCGCCTGTAATCGCAGCTACTCGGGAGGCTGAGGCAGGAGAATTGCTTGAACCCGGGAAGGGGAGGTTGCGGTGAGCCGAGATTGCGCCACTGCACTCCAGCCTGGGCGACAGAGTGAGACTGTCTCAAACAAATTTAAAAGCTCCAAATCCTCCAAAAATCCAAGGAAGAGATTTTTCTGTAACTAGAGATAAGTACTGATGTTTATTTTTAATAGGTGATTTTCAAAGGCGTGAACGTTGTTATCCACGGAGATTTAAGTCTCTAAAAGGGAATAAAAATGCACACCTTTATACTAATACTTCATCACCAGGCAAATTTGGATCATTCCTAAATTGGCTTCTACACCTCTCTCCTAATATAAGGTACTTTCTTAAGTTTGCAGTTGTAAGACACTTATTTCCACTTCTTTAATGTCTTCTCAGTGGGGCTACTGATATAGTCACTACTTGACTGACCAGAATGGTTGGCACTGGTGATTGGCTCATAAAGTGCCCTCGGTTTAGGGGGCTCAATTATCAAAGGTTTAAATCCTAGCCCAAACCATTGCTGTGATTGGGGCTAATCAATGAACCACTCAGCTTCACTTGCAAAAGCGTTATCACTATAGTCGCTTTTGTCATGACCCAGCCTAGGTGAGATTTAGTACTTAAGAACACTGTCAGGCACACAAAGTTAATTTAACAATTTAATACATTTATTTCCTCATCTATTTCTCCAAACCTTCCAACTAATCCTAAACGTTCGTTCGCCCGAACAGGCCAGGTAGTCACTGAAAAAAAAGAAAGAAAGAAAAGAAAAGAGAAAAGAAAAAAAGAAAAGAAAAAAGAAAGGAAAGGAAAGAAAGGAAAGAAAAGAAAGGAAAAGAAAGGAAGAAAGAAAGGAAAGAGAGAAAGAAGAAAGAAAAAGAAAGAGAAAGGAAAGAGAAAGAAAGAAAGAAACAAACGAAGGAACGAAGGAAGAGAGAGAGAAAAGAAAGAAAAGCAGGCTCCCTGGGGCTTGGGGAGGGGGAAACCGCCGCCCCAAGTCTCAGTCCGGAGGTGGCTCAGTCCTCAGCACATAGATCTACCACCATAATGCTCCTCGAGGCCCAGGAACCCGGATGCGGGGCGTTGCCTAGGGCGTCTTGCGCACGCCGCAGGAAAGGAAAGGGGCGGGAGCCGGGTGAGGGCATCGCGACCCAGGCCACCGCGGCGAGCCGCCTTCTTCGAGTCCCACCTGTCCGAAGTGGGGTGGGGAAAGGCACAAGATGGCAAAGCCAGGTGCCTGCCAGCGTGGGCAACTCACGGCCGGTAAGGGCCGGACTCCTGGCAGTTTCCAGACTTTCGGAACCGGAAGCGGCGGCTGGGAGCGCGCCCGAGAGGACGTGAAAGGGGCCGCTTTCCCGGAAGTGCTTGCGGCCTCGGCCCCCCGCCTTGCCCAGCGGCCTGTTCGGTTTCCTAATCAGTGGAGCGCTGCGGGAGAGAACTTTTACCTTGGCTGCACTAAGTTCTCAGTGCCACTCCCTAGCAGGGCGGGACCCAGTTTAGGCCCTGTGATCTCCCTGTTGGTAGGAGCGCAAGGCGCCTAGGGACCCTGGACCTTGACCCGCTTGGGGAGGGAAAAAAGTTTGGCCCGCCGAGTCCCAAAAGGCAGAATGGACGGGCTCCTAAATCCCAGGGAATCCGCTAAATTCATTGCAGAAAACAGTCGGGATGTGTTTATCGACAGCGGAGGCGTATGGAGGGTGGCAGACTTGCTGCTGGCCAAGGCGGCGGGGCCAGAGCTGCGCGTGGAGGGGTGGAAAGCCCTTCATGAGCTGAATCCCAGGGCGGCCGACGAGGCCGCGGTCAACTGGGTGTTCTTGACAGATACGCTCAACTTCTCCTTTTGGTCGGAGCAGGACGAGCACAAGTGTGTGGTGAGGTACAGAGGGAGAACGTACAGTGGGTACTGGTCCCTGTGCGCTGCGGTCAACAGAGCCCTCGACGAAGGTTGGTACCATCCTCGCCGTGGGGCCGAACAGCCTTTCAGATTTCCATTTACTTGGGGGGGTGGTGGTGTGTAGGGAGGGTTCCAAGGAGCAGGCTTCCAGGGAGCAGGTTGGAAGATGGAATAATGGGAAGCAAACCTGAAGTTCTTCGTTTTAAGTCCTTCTGCTTAAAATAGAAGTATGAAAGGGGAAGGTTTTTAGTGGGGAATGATGTTAATATTTATCATCGCAGCATGAAAGTTACCGTAGTATAAAAGTCAGTTTTGTAAAGAATGCCATTTGCATTACACCTGAAGAACAAAAGGACTGATGTTATAAAGCAGTTTACTCAAAATAAACCTGATATAATAGTAATTAGAAATGGGTGAATAAGTACAGACAAGTAGCAAATGAGAGTTTTGCTTTTGATTTTTTTATTCATCCACTTTCGGTGCATTCCTGTAACATTCATTTGGTTTCATATTAATTACATGTTATAAAAGCAAGGGTTTAATGAATATAAAAGTATGACATTGATCCTCTGAATTTTATTTTTTCACTAAAGGGATACCAATAACTAGTGCCTCATACTACGCGACAGTGACCCTGGATCAGGTTCGAAATATACTTCGTTCTGACACAGACGTTTCCATGCCTTTAATAGAAGAGAGGCATCGGATTCTCAATGAAACTGGGAAAATTCTGCTGGAGAAGTTTGGTGGCTCTTTTCTTAACTGCGTCAGAGAAAGTGAAAATAGTGCACAGAAGTTAATGCACCTGGTCGTTGAAAGTTTTCCTTCTTACAGAGATGTGACTCTGTTTGCGGTGAGTTGCTTCTGTTGGGGATTTTAGAGGTCTTAATCATCTCAGAGTTAACTCTTTTACTTCCAGAACTCATTTTGAGAATAAAGACTTAAAATTTTTAAGTGTATTCCTTGTGGAATAAGCAGTAACAAAATTCGGTAGTTTTGAAGTCATTTCTTATGTTTTCTAATCAGTGTATTTCATTCTTTTGTATTTTTTTTTCTTTTAAAATGTTTCAAACCTAAAAAACGTGGAACCCTCCATGTAATGTTCTCCTTATGGATAATTAGGTCTCTTTAGTACTTCAAAAAGTTTAATTTATTGGATGAAGATCAGAATGTATGCTAAACTCTTCCTAACAAAAAGTATTACTGGCCAAGCACAGTGGCTCACTCCTGTAATCCCAGCACTTTGGGAAGCCGAGGCTGGCGGACCACCTGAGGTCAGGAGTTTGAGACCAACCTGGTCAATATGGTGAAACCCCGTCTCTACTAAAATACAAAAATTAGCCAGGTGTGGTGGTGCATGCCTCTAATACTAGCTACTTGGGAGGCTGAGGTGGGAAAATCGCTTGAACCCAGGAGGTGGAGGCTACAGTGAGCTAAGATTGCACCAGTGCACTCCAGCCTGGGTGAGACAAAACGACACACTCTATCTCAAAAAAAAAAAAAAAAAAAAAGTATTTATTGCAAAGTTAAATGTACTGTATATATATTTTGTGGTTTATTTTTCATAAAGTATACTTGAATGATTTTTTTTGGCACAAAGAAATTAAATAGATACACTTGTAAAATGTTAATTTTGTTACACCGTCCCAGGCTACACCTGGATTTTGTTTTCGCCAGATTATTTTGGAATCTCTTAAACCTGGGAGATGGAGGTTGCAGTGAGCTGAGATCACACCACTGCACTCCAGCCTGGGTGACAGAACTAGACTCCGTCTCAAAAAAATTAAATAGAAAATAAATTGGCTGGGTGTGGTGGCTCACACATGTAATGCCAGCACTTTGTAATGCCAGCACTTTGGAAGGCCAAGGCGGACAGATCACTTGAGGTTAGGAGTTCAAGACCAACCTGGCCAACATGGTAAAACCCTTGTTGTTTGTTTGTTTT